GTTTGACGTGAATAGTAAGTATAAATGTTGTTGAGCAGTTCAGAAACACCAATAGTATAGAGGAGATTTTCTTGAAGACAGATGAGCATTATACAAGCATTCAGGGGGTCAGTGTAGGATCGCACTGTATGGGAGGAATGTATTGATTATCTAGGGCAGAATGAACAGCAAACACTAGTAGTCAGTGCAGTCAATAAATCATTATTTTTTAACTTTTATTAAAGGACCACTCTAGGCACCCAGACCACTTCAGCTTAATGAAGTGGTCTGGGTGCCAGGTCCTTCTAGGGTTAACCCATTGTTTTATAAACATAGCAGTTTCAGAGAAACTGCTATGTTTATCAATGGGTTAAGACTTCCCCCAAAGCCTCTAGCAGCTGTCTCACTGACAACCGCTAGAGGCGCTTGCGTGCTTCTCACTGTGAAAATCACAGTGAGAGCACGCAAGCGTCCATAGGAAAGCATTATGAATGCTTTCCTATGCGACCGGCTGAATGCGCGCGCAGCTCTTGCCGCGCATGCGCATTCAGCCGACGGGGAGGAGAGGAGGAGGATCGGAGGAGGAGAGCTCCTGCCCAGCGCTGGAAAAAGGTACGTTTTACCCCTTTCCAGAGCCGGGCGGGAGGGGGTCCCTGAGGGTGGGGGCACCCTCAGGGCACTATAGTGCCAGGAAAACGAGTATGTTTTCCTGGCACTATAGTGGTCCTTTAAAGAGGAGTTAAATTTTATAGAAGTATTAGGTCATAGGAGATTCCTGTGACCTGCACAGTTAACTGTCCCAAATACCAATGTCCTCTATAAACAGACAGCTGTCACTTTGCTATGTCAGCAAATGTCACACACAAGAAAAAAATCTAAATATTGATTTAATTGAAAAAAATAATAATAGCACACTAATATGTTTAACTTTAAAAGATGCTTGGATAAAAAATTTACCAAATCAATGAGACTGTTATGCAATCCTTTGGAAGGTATTGATACATGATAGAACTGAATAATGTTTATAAAGCATTAGCGTAATGTATAACATTTGTTACATGCTATATTAACTAACCGCATCATTAACTAGAGGCCCCTGTCCTATATATTCTAATCCTGCACTTGCTGTTGGGCTCCCACTTAACAAAACCACAGCTAACAATTGCTATCGTTTGAATTGCTCTTGGAGAATCAGCTTAATGTTTGGAAGAATTCTGCACTCATGTACAATTGCAAGCCTAATAGTAAGGCATGCACTAAGAAAAAAAGAATAATTATACATTTTAAATTAGTAATAATGATATTAATATTACATCCATTATGTTAATCAAATAGTGATTTAAAAAAAAATACAATTCTTAATTGCACAAATACACTGATCAGCCACAACATTAAAACCACCTGCCCAACATCGTGAAGGTCCCCCTT